GGTAAATAAAATTACCAGTTTTCCAGGTTTTTCCAGGACTGTAACGGAAAATTTCCAGGTTATTAATGAAACCTTCACAGAAAAAAATCTGAATTTTAATGGTGATGTAAACATCCATGCATACAAACATTCATGCATGTAAACTTCCTTTTTACGTATACCAGCAACTTTCAAGAAATGTTGCTTGCAGAGATGGACGGTTGCATACAATGTATGGAATATATCATGACATGTCTCATAAATTTACAGGGTCTATAATGTAAACTTGTATGATATATGACGCTCCATTGCATTGCACTTAGCATCATAGTAACGGTAATTTACACTACTTTTTCGAACTGTGTTCTTTTAAAATACGATAAAAAATATGCTATTCGAATATGTTTGTTAGTTTTGAATCTTGAAAGCTTGGTCATGGTTCAGAATCTGGATAAAAATCCTAGCCCGGAATATTGGTATGAGGACTCGCATTTAGTCAATGACAAAAACAACTCCCCTGATCTTGACAATTTGTTTTATTTTAAATCCAGAACTTTCCTATGCATGATATTAGAATTTTGATTTTTTTTTCGAACAAATTAAGCTATTCTTGATTTTTTTTAAATCCAAAAACTTTTTCCCCTAGTCTCAGATTTTTTTTTTAATTAATTTCCATGTTTGAATCATTTTGATACTCTCTCTCTCTTGATTCCACTAATTAGGGGGAATACATGTAATGTCGGCCTAAATGCCCCTAATTTGGGCCCATACATAAATTTGGCAATCGACTATGACGCATTCTTTTAGATAAAAATGATAAATAGCAGATTTTTAGCGGTGGGCCCAATCTTAGATCCATAGGCCAACATTAGAGCTATTTCCCCTATCTCCTGAAACTCCCATGGCATTAAATTTGGAGTTCCCTCTAAATTCCACTCAGTGCAGTCCTTTAAATTCCATGAAAGGCTCCTCAGAATTCCTTTCTTTGATTTATCTTAAAATGATTACAGCAATAGCATTGAAACTCTCATGAGTATTTTTTTTTTTTTGAAAATTTGGCCCAAAACTTTGATGGAATTTTCTTTGAAACTCTCCTCAGAATCCCATTGGAACATTTCTTAGAAATCCTGTGGAATCATCCTCAAAGTTTTAATTGATTTTTTTTTTCAGAATTCGCTTTGGATTCTCCTTTATCTTTTGGCATTCTGCTCACAAGTACCTTGGAGTTCTTCGCACAAATCCCTTTGTCAAAACTCGATTGGAATTCCCACTCAGAACTGTAAAACTGTAAAAATAGCACTTAAGACAACAATTGTAAAACGGTCTAAACTGATTGACGACAAATAAATAAATAAACTATGTTGGAAATTTCCTTTGAATCCTTTTCATGAATAACAGGGATAACTAAGAACTATCTTGGAAATATTTGTATTTTGAAATGATTTGAAATTGTTCATACACTACCTTGGAAATATTTGTATTTTGAAATGATTTGAAATTCTTCATACAATAATTTCAAAATTCCTTAAGAATACCCTGAGAATTCCCGGGTTTCCAGGTATTTCCAGGTTTTTCAAGTTATGAATAATATTCAGGTTACTTTTTAAATTTGTCAGTCAGAGGGAAGTGTGACAGTTTACCCGAGCAAAGCTGAAGATCAAATTGAAATCAAAATTTGCTGTTATGATGTAACTTATATTGAATACTCCAATTGATCTCATTTTGGTTGACTTAACACAGCAAAAATGAGAGCAAAATTTACACTGTTGAAGCAAACGGAAAACTAATCCTGCTTTCAATGAAATCAATTTGATTACTGATTTTGCATTCATAATGTTTAACTGAATACGGGCCTAGAGTAAATGGTTACCATTCATGTTTCTCAAGCTGAAAGACTTAGGCTCCAATCTCACCGCGGGCAAGTCACGAATAACCTAAAATGTGTTAAACAAATCAGATAAACGATAATCATTAGTTCAACGACAGATGAATTTCAATTAAATTTTAAACAAGACGTAAACAGCAGAACTTCAAGTTAAGTTGCTTTCATTTAAAACGTCTTGACTGCATAATGAAAGCACAATATGATATCAGACTTATGTCGCAACATTTGAAATCAAAATGAGTTTTCATTATGATAGGAACTGCACACTTTAATATCGATTTGCTTTCATTTTGTTAACCGACTTTGCTCGGGTAGCCACCTTCAGGATCATCACTAACGATACCAAATTCAGTGGAAAATTCGAATGAGGTTTAAACAAATTGATAGTTTCAAGCCCTATTTGCATTTTGAGTACAAATGGAATATTAAAAGTAAAATGTTTAATCTTATGAACGAAGCTTTGAAAATGTTCGTTTTTGTAACCGAAATAAAACCGTTGGGATAGTGGCACCGGTGCACAGTGGGACGAAATCAAAAAAAGAGGGACATGGCCATTTGCGGCGAAACTATAGAGTGTAGGATTTTGATGTCTTCTAGAATGTTTCTTCAATGTTTAAATTCTTTATTGTAGTGGTGAATTTTTTTGCTTAAGCCCCACTATACACTAAGATAAAAAAAAATAAATTTTTCATGTCTTGTTGAAATTGATGATCATCTATCGAAACATTGTAAATGAAGTCATTTTAAGAAACTTTGTCTAAGACGTCAATTTTCCATCTCTCTAGTGGACGAAGTTATAGGGTGAAAATGGAGTACTAACGGTAGTACTCCCTAAAAAACCGTTTTTTACCATAACTTTTTAGTTTGAATTTTAAAATTTTTTCAATGTTGTACAAAGTTGTAACAACTGCACATTTTTGCTGCAAAAACAAATCTTTGTTTTAAGGATTTAAGTCCCTTTTTATAATTTTCTAATGCTATCTGTAAGGGGTGTATCTTGCAGTTAGCAGGTATTAGCAGTTAATTTCAAAGTTATTTTGTTCAGCATCTTCTAGTATACTGTTACACACACAATTCATAGGGGGATCCAAGGGGATGCCTTATGAATTTTCTAATATAGTATCTCAATGGTTTGTTACGTTTTGCTGTTTTCTTGACAATTTTTCCAAGTGTTTACAGTAGAGTGGGTTTCCCACCGCTCTTTCAATACTTATTATGGTCCCCAACCACTGGGAAAAATTTGAACAGATATGGTAATAATCTTGAATAGCGGAAGAATTTTAAATTTTGTATGTGAAACGGAACGATCATATTCATTTTGCTTACCAAAAATCCAAACATGGCTCAAATTTCACCAAAACTCGGACTTAGATTGAGAATACTATACTAAACAACTTTGTCTAAGCTGCAACGCACCCTAATGTACATACTTGGAAAAATGTTCATGAAAACAGCAAAACGTAACAAAACATTGATGTACTATATAAGAAAATTCATTAGGCATCCCCTTGGATCCCCCTATGAATTGTATATGTAACAGTAGACTATAAGATGCTAAACGAAATTACGTTTTACTTTACATAAAGAGGTAGCGATTTGCTTAATTGATCAAAAATGTGCATTTTTAGAGCACTTATAACTTTGTAGAACATTGAAAAAAATTAAAACTTCAAACTAAAAAGTTATTATAAAAAGCGGTTTTTAAGGGGGTACTAGCGTTAGTACTCCATTTTTAACCCTATAACTTCGTCCACTTGAAATATAAACAATGCGCGTCTTTCACAAAGTCTCTTAAAATGACTTCCTTTACAATATATCCATAGATATTCATCAATTCAACAAGACATAAAAAAGTTATTTTTTTATCTTATTGTATACCTCCCATAATCAAACATGTTCACTCCTCAGTTAAAGTGTTAAAAAAATGACGACTCATACTAAAAGAAATCAAAATGCTACACTCAATAGTTTCGTCGCAAATAGCCATGTCCCACTATTTTTGATTTCGTCTCACTGCGGTATAGTGGTAAGCGAGATTGCCTCTCACTTCAAAGGGCGTGGGTTCAATCCCAGTCGACGCCGTCGGGATTTTCTGAGGCATAAAATCTCTGATCTTTCGGAAGGGAAGTAAAGCCGTGTCAGTAGCATTGGCATCGGTAGCATAGATACTAAGTACAGAAAACAGGCTGCAAGGACAGTTTGTATTTCCGCGATTTTTAACCTGATCCCTATTACCGCAATTTCTTGGTGCCAATTTTGGACTACGAATGGATATTAAAAGATTCTCTAAATTATGGATCAAACCAACTTAAACAGTCGCATAGCACAGACTAGATTTTCCCGATTTTCGGTAGAAGGAAAAACTGCCCATATCCAAGGGAAGGAACATCTGGAGCACTACGGTATAACAACAACATCGTCAGGAATCCGAACAACCTCATGAGCTAAATATTTTCATTCATCTAATTCATTCACAGAGGGAACTAGGCTAATAGACAATAGGGTTCACAGAACAATAACAGGGGATCAGGTACATGGTTTACACTAGAACAGGTCTAAAGCATCCTCAGTTGCCGAACACTGTTTGGCCGTCTGATTCTCTTTACTACAAGGGACACTATATACAAAGGAGCGGATACTGAACACGAGGTACGTACAAGTGGAACACATTTTGGGTTTTATGAGGAGAGGTGGTTAGAAGCCGGGTCAAACCTACGATGATATGTCGCGTCGTCCAAGCCAAGAGGGGGTGGAATGGAATGTATGTATGTGTGTGTATCTACAAGACATGAACCAAGGGACAAGGGTCTAAATTGGGAGTCACTTTCGTTCCGCTACAGGATGTTGGAATGCGGGACCTACGTGTCGCTTACAGATATGAAACGGGGACAATCTACACAGAGCAAATTTACAGACGCGCCAGACGGGGGGCGTTTAGGGTTGCATTAATTCCGGAAACCAGTATAGTTAGGTGCGGAAGAATTGAGACGATGGCAAAAGATCCGCCGGGGTGATTGTCACCGGATAGTGGTAATGGGTGCGGGGGTGAGGTTTAACGAGGGGATGGGGCCGGACGTTGGGAACTGGTTGGCGTCTTGGTGTAAATCAGCACCAATCAAAAAACGATTAAACTCACATCAGGTATCGGTTGTAGATGATGTGGAGGTATCGCTCCTTGTAGATGTGTTCCTTTTAGTAATGGATCGGCTAAACCTGAGATGCCTGCCGCATGCAAGCCGCCGGCTATGGCTAGTGGAAATACTGTGCAGGTCTACACACGAGTTTCAATTTGTTTTTAGAGTACAGTAGAATGAGACAGATTTGTTTGGTATGGTGGCAAAAGATAAATATGGTCAAGAGAAAAATGAGAGATGAGATTAGAATCGTAAATCGAGCCGTTACGTTGGAGGGTGGTGGGGTTTGTGATCGGTGGAGAAGAGAGAGATAAAGAGAAAGAGAAATCGGAAACAAAATTACTTAATCATTTGAAGAAGCATCGATCGAGGGTGAAGGTTCTGGGGTCGGAACACGCTACTAAGAGTGAAATAAGATTAAGGGGAGAACGAAAGCACCGGAACGGTTCAATTGAAGGGTTAAGTGCTAACAATGTCGAATGAAATTAATTACACGGACGGGAGCAAAGTATCTCTATTCTCGACGTAAGCGCGTAATATGAGTAAGGATGGACAAAAGAGAGAAAGAGATATATAAAAGAATCAGAGCAATAGATAGAGAAAGAGAGGTCAACTGGATAAATATATCTGAGGAATCAGCAGTATTTCGATATATATATTTTTTTATTTGATTTTTGCGTATCCTTACCTCCTGTGCTGGAACGGCGTAGTTGCCCTGGATGGTGTACGCCTGGCCGTTTGCCACTATGACCGGCCCGTTCATCTGTGGCTTCGGTCGGTACGGGATGGTGGCTCCTTTCGGGGGCGACTGAAAAGAGATGCGAGTGGTGGTAATTGATCAAGTGAGTGTAATGGAATAAAAATTGATTTAATTAATAATGAATTGCTCGACAGCAAGCACAACTCGGTTCTCTGGAAAGGCCAGTAAGTACATATACAGTAGTAAGAGTACTTTTGGGTGGTTTTTGTGGTATTTCTCCTGATGACATCGATAATTAAATTGAAACCGAAAAGTATTTGCTATGGAGAAGACTGAGAACACATGATCCTTTTTTATTTTGGTATTGTTCTTACACACACAATTAATCGATGTTACAATCAACAGCTACCTTACAGAATCTGTATATGCGATTATTTATAACAAATTTTCAAAATATTATCCATATGGTTGACTGTACGCATTGGAAACCGAAACCCTATACACATTCTAAGCCATTCAAAATTAAACAAATCCTGCTCCACCGCTAGCAACCAGCCAAACTAAAGCGAAGCAAGTCCAAATTCCTCTGTATCCAATATGGATACCGTTCCCACAATGACGAATGGCGACTGATGCTGTGTTCGGTGAAATTTCGAATTTATCACATTCCCTGACAGTCTCCCGCTCAGAGCTGTCCTTTACTGTCATGACAAAACGTTGAATACCGTGCTTCTTCCATCCCTCAACTTCACCATGTAACTCAGATTGTATGCGGAAAAGTTGTACGTCATCCGGTTGCCTTTTATTACGAAAGCAAAAGGCTTGAATGGAGAAGCTTGTTTCGCGTGTCCTCCAGTAAGTTACAACTCGGAAAGCTCAGAACCCTGGAAATGTGCGATAGTGAGCATAATGTGATTATGAACATGTACGTATGCCGGTTTGAAGTCCATATAGAACCACGGAAAACTGCTGCATTGTAATTCCCAGCTTGAGTGACACTTCACACGTGGCTTTGGAAAAATATGAATTCATAATTGGCTTAACTATTTCCATCGGAAGCCGAAACGGGAAGTAAAATTGTGCCAATTTCGGTGTATCACCATCGTCTGTGATTCCTACAGAAACACTGAATTGGTAATTGATTGTCTACATTCCCTCTGTGCTGCCTAATCCGGCATACAATTGAATACAATTGTAATCGCTGTTGATAATTATTCTAAAGCACTTGCACATGAATGAATTAAAATTACTAATGAATAAAATTTGCAACCTGTTTATACCCCGGAAAAATCTAATTACTCACCCAACACGGCACACCAACGGGCCCCAACCGCTAATTGTCTAAATTAATAATAATGCCCACATTTTATCAAAGTCGTACAGCAACTGGATTTTGAGGTCAACCACAGACCGAAAAAGCCATCAACTGTAGGCAGACCGTCCCTGCCTGCACGCGTCAACCATATTAATGGCCAAAGCCGAAACTTTAATGCATCCGGCAACGGCTTACCTCGAAAAGCAGGTGGTAAACTCGTAAATTGAATAAAAAAATCCGTCATAATGAAATCTCGAATCACACATGAAAATGGAGCTGGCTACTGAAAGGCACCCACAAGGCAGACAATCAGGTCAGAGATTGATGTAAACCCGGTTTTTCGGAAAATCGGGATGCATATGTGACCGACCACCGGCTGGTGTGTCAAGACTGAACGCTACAGCCTTTTTTGGCATCCCTTCATCCATTACTACACCATCACCAATGGCGCAGCTGCCGGCACTCGGGGAAACGGGATTATGAATTATTAAATACGAAATCACAGAACAAATTAAAACTGAAAATGCTGCGGAAAATGTTGGAAAATGATATCAATTATTGATTTAAGGCAGCGGAGAGTGGTGAAGGCATCATTGATGGGATCGAAGGGATTACCATATGTTTGCGGAAAAGCAGGGAATATGGTATCCAATGGATTTTGTATTTTAAAAGGCTCAGCAGAGTCCGATGAGTCAGATATTAATTTGGTAGGTTGCACACGGATTGGTTTTTGGGGTGTGGAGAATGCACTTTCATGATTTCGAATGATTTAGGCAACCTGCTATTAAGGATCAATAGAATAAGTAATAAACCGGTATTAATTAGCCCCCGGAAGATTAAACTCTTATTTTACACTAAGGTTTCATTCGACATTGAAATACACTGGAGTCGCTTTTTACGCGGGTGATACGTCCCGCGTAAAAAAAAACCGCGTAAAAAAAACCGCGTAAATTCCGGAATCCGCGTAAATTCCGAAATCCGCGTAAAAAAACCAAAATCCGCGTAAAAGAAAACCGCGTATATTCCGGAATCCGCGTAAAAAAAACCGCGTAAATTCCGAAATCCGCGTAAAAAAACCGCGTAAAAAGCGACTCCAGTGTAGCTGATTTTCGGCATTCAATTCGTTAAAACAAAAACAATTGTTGAATATCCGAGTGCTAGTTTTCAGGTATTCTACTGAAGAATTGCGAGGAGTCCATTAGTTGAAAAAAAAAACATGCCAGGGATTATGGAAAACAGCCAAATTATTCCTACACTATCCTGGTGTAGTGATAAGCGTAACTGCTTTCTAACATCCCGATCGGTCTGGGTTCGATCCCAGCCGAGGTCGGTGGGATTTTTCTGAGGCATAAAAATCTCTGGTCACGTCTTCCTTCGGAAGGGAAGTAAAACCGTTGGTCCCGGCCCATGTGTGTTGAATGGGTGCGATATCCTACGCAGGTGTGGAAGCTGTCTTCCTGCACAGTCGATTGCCATCAATGGATGGCAATCAATGTCCGTCGGTGATTGGCATAAGATTGCGGAACAGAGACCGACGTTAAATAAAGGAAAAAAAGAGCAGAAAGCATCAGTAAAATCAACATTCTGACGTTCAGTTCAATAGTTCAATGCTGTCAAAAATAGTGATTTTTTTTTGAATAGTGATAGTGATAGTGACATGTTTAAGCTACAAATGACCAAATAGTGACTTCGAATAATAATTGTGGAAGAAAACGAATTTGGAGCATAAGTCCTTGTATATTTTTGAAGAACATGCTTAAAAGAGGATTACAAATAAAGCTGATAATAATTCCAGCTAATTTGAGAAGCGTTCCAAGTGAATTTCTGAAAAAAAAAGAATCCATGAGACTTTCGGGGGAATACAAAGCGAATGCAAAAGAGAACTCCAAGTGAATTTTCATGAGTAAATTGAATTTTTCTGAAGATATCTGATTGTCCTCGAAGTACTTGGAACTTCGCTAAATATCATGAAACGATCTAAAAATATCTAAATTTATGGAAAATATTAAGGGTACCGGTGCTTACGACAAGTTTTATGTTCTTGAATTTTCAATGAGATAATCTTTTCCGAAAGTTCAAATGCGTCCCAGAAAATCTCTGAAGAAAACTTTGCGGAAGTTTTCGGAAATTCCCGGAGTTGCCTGAAACTTCTTTGAGTTTTCTGCAATTTTCTTGACATTATTTATATCTTGATGTTCTAGGAGCTTGCTCTGAAATAAATGGAGTTCTCGTAAATACCTTTAAACTTCTCTGAAATTCTCTGGATTTCTGTGAAGTTTCTGAAATATTCCTGATGTTTTCATAAATTCTCTTAGGGTCTCTATACTTTCCTTAAATTCTCAGAACATCTTAAGGGTTCTCGATTTTTTTTCATCAAATCATAGAATTGTCATTATTTTTTCTAACCTCACGCTTATATTAAACTTTTTAAATAGTGTGGACTAAATGTTACGGGAACTACCCTTAAGATCTCTGTACTTGATCTCTAGATCTAGCTTTCAGGTAGGCCAGTGAATTTTCAATTTGAAATTCCCGTGTTTTCCCGGTTTAAATATTAAAAATTTTCCGGTTGTTAATATTCAACAAAAATCGAAATTGAATGCATTTTTAAAACCGTGGCTAACTGTAAATTTTCGGAGGTTATTTGTGGGAAAAATCAAAAATAGAAAGTATTTTTTAAAGCTGAAAGTATAAATTCAACCCTATGAGTCACTTAATGTATTCAAAACAAATCATTGATCTTTCGAGATACTTGTAAAATCAATTTCTATCACTTTTTATGCTCGATTACGATTGCAAAGCCCTAGAATTTTATTGAGTAACAGGAATTAAGGTCACTAGACCAAATGCTATCTGGATGAATAGGGTATTAGAAATAATTATAAAAAATAAAAGTTTTAATCAAAAATATGTTTCAGAAAAAATGAACTTGATACAAATGAGAATAACATAAATATTAACCTTTCAGTACTTGAGCTGAAGTACAAAGTTAAACACGAAAAACAAAATATTTAAAACCTACAGACGTTACAACTCGCTCAACGTGAAACTAATTAACTAAGCATGGTTCATGCAATTTAATACCCACATCTAATAGACCAGGTTGGTAAACGGCTGGATAATGCGTACCATTGATACTTCGCGTATCTGCAGGTATAAAATAGACCCCACTAGCGGTCCTTAGCCTCTTGTCCAGTAGCTCCTATCCCTACCTCCCCGCGGTGCCGGCTGGGGTACGAGTAACCATAGGGAAGATCGGGTAACCAACCTCGGTGGGACTTTGGTCGTCTGCTGACAGGGAAGTGTGGGACTTCTCTCTCCGGAGAGTGCAGTCTTCGAGTGTCTGTTCTCCATGTTAGGAGCGGCTGATCAACGTCCTGGTGCCAGCAAGGGACTCTAAAGAGAGATGTGCACGATGGTCCTCCGGCGAGACAATGGGGGTTGGTGCAGGCCCTACAATCGATAGCAGAATGTGCAAGTTGAGGATCAAAAGCCGTTTCTTCAATGTCAGCATAATCAACGTGCACAGCCCTCACTCAGCAAGTGACGATGACGATAAAGACGCTTTTTACGCGCAGCTGGGAACGGGAATACGACAGCTTCTCAAGCTATGACGTCAAAATCGTCATCGGTGATCTTAACGCTCAGGTCGGCCAGGAGGAGAAATTCAGACCGGTTATAGGAAAGTTCAGCGCTCACCAGCTAACGAGCGCCAACGGCCTTAGACTCATCGATTTCGCCACCTCTAAGAAGATGGCCATACGTAGTACCTACTTCCAGCATAGCCTCCCAT